CCATACCCCTGTTGGTAGACGTGGAGAACATATACATCCCTGTTGGTAGACATGGGGACCATATCCGTGTTGACAGACGTGTTGCCTATCATGCTGATGAGTGTCTGGGCCACATGTTGCTTCCCCTCGTTGGTGGACATCTAGCTCTCCCCACTTTGCTCCTTTGAATGTTTGGGCAGGAGAGTGTCCGAGGGCGGCTTCCCCTCCTCTTGGTCAGAAGGCACTCACAGTACTCCTTAGAGTGGCGGTTCTCAAGAGTGGCGGTTCTCAACCTGTGGGTCACGACCCCTTTGGGGGTTGAACGACCAGTAGCAAAATGACAGTGATGAAGTAGCAATGAAAATCATGTTATGGTTGGGGGTCACCCCCACATGAGGAGCTGTATGAAAGGGCCACGGCATGAGAACCACGGCCTTGGAACCACCTCCTCAAAGCAAGTCAACCTCACGCCACGGCTGGAGTCAAGGTCCGGAGACCTTGGCGTGCCCAGGCGGCACCACTTAAGGTTGAGACGCAGCAGCTGCCACACCTATTCATAACGAACCCGGGAGCATGCGACATGTGGACCTGGGGAGACTGGGCGTTGTAAGAAGTGAGATTGAACGCGCCAGCATGGCCATCCTAGGCACCGCTGAGCTGAGGTGGACTGCCATTGGCCATTTTGAATCAGACAATCATACGGTCTGTGACGAGGAATGTATTTACCACCAAAAAGGGTCTTTCAAGATCTAGCCTGAAGCCCAACAATGTTTATAACCCACGCTGTTCATGTGAGTGTTATTCAAATTCACACAGCAACCAAATGCCAAAGATGAAGAAATGGAAGATTTAACCAACTGTGTAGTCTGGAATCGACCATACAGTCAAGAGGCATCGACAATTGATGGTGACTGAAATATGCAAGTTGGAAACAATGACGAAGGATTGGTGTTGGAAACGATGGCTTTGGTAAAAGAAACGCTGTCACATGAGAGCATCCGTTGCAAGACCAACACAAGCGACAGTTCTCCTTGCCAGATGGAGTGCACAGGATCAAATCAACTCTCTCCGGGGGAAGAGACTGCGGAGATGTCGACATCCAAAGTCAGTACCAGCCAGCAAGTGCTCATGTGCAAGCTCAAGTTGAAGCTGAAGAAAATGAACACAAGTCCGTGAGGGCCGAAGGATGACCTTGAGTGTGTCTCACCTGA